GTTGAAAGAATATCTACCAACTGATACATTGAGAGAAGACATCAGCTTCTTCTCAGGGGATTTGACAAAAAACATACCTTTTGATAACAATAGTTGAAAAAGAAATATTGTCCATAGTATGTTCAAATAGAGCTGGTTTCACGGAATATGTAGTCAACAAGATGGCATGGAAACGAAAAATTATTATTCTGTGTCTGCCCCCTTATCATCGCGAACTTTATCCCATTGAACTCTTTTGGGTTCAAGTAAAGGGTTTCGTTTCGAAGAAATACGACATTTAAAATAAAAGATGTCAAAATACTCTTTAAGGAGTCCTTAACAAATTTCGATTCTGAAAAGTAGAGAAAATATATTGCACACGTTTTAAAAGAAAGGACATGTAGAAAATAGACCATTTAGTTCAGGAAATTGTATAACCTTCAATTATAACATTAGACGAAGATTCATCGGTTTTATCTAATGATAACGCACCATAATTTTTGCTTATATCTTAAATATTTTTAATCAAAAAGTTGTAACAATATCAATTGTATATAAATAAATTAGTCCTTTATTAGTATTCTTTATTAAATACCCAAACGCACGCCACTGGAGGTATAAAATTACCGGAAAGCTCACGAAATCTTTTGTTTGCAATCCGAACCTGGTTAAGAATTACAAACCCGCCTATATCTATTGTGTCAAATAATAACAAAATCACAAAATTCTGTTTGAGCAGTCTGTTAGCGTTTTTTATTTATGAGTATACTGAGCATTAATTATTTTTTACTATTAGAAAAGTGAGCATAGGCCGTGAAAGATGTAGACAATTTGTTACTAACGTATGAGAAACGTATTTAGTGTTACATTTTTCTGTAAGAAATGTTCATTCATTTTTATTGACGAAAAAAATTATCAGAAACTAGTTCAAACAGAAGAATCTAATGAATTGTTGTGAAAGATTTTCGATACATAATAATAACTTCCGTGAATCTGAATAAGTTGGGAGCCATTCATTTGTTTTAAGTGTCCGGAAAATCCTGCAGCTTCATAGTCTACTTTTCCCATACTTTCATGAAACCCATTCCAATAGCCTAGTTCCTTGAATTATTCTGTTCAGAGTGAGTCAAATTGGACACTTAAAATTTCTAAATACCTGTGAGATGAGAGATGCCATTATAAATGAACGGGTCGATAATTCTACCCCTGAAAACACCTGTCCACACACTAAATCCAAATCTTCCTTGACTTTTCTACTCCACAATAGAATGAGGATTTTGTTGAGCCCAAGTATAAGAATTGTAGCAGTTGAAAATGCCGGTACAACTTTGACAAGCTTCGCTTGTCCAAATACAATTTAACGAAAAATCACGCACTTGATTACAGCTTTCCAGGAACCACTGGCAAAAAGCCATGCAGCGTTCAAAATCTCCTGCTCTGAGTTGATGAATTCTTCTGGGCCTGTATGGCTGGATCTTCTGTTTTTTTCAAAATCCACCTAACGTTAGTTCTTGGTAGGCCTGTTGTTAAGTTCATATTTTGCGTTGTCGTTTTAGGATTATTCCAAGTCCTTATCCATATTTTATTCATATAATTTCAAATTGAACACCATTAATTAGGTTGTGTCGCAATCTTGCGATACAAATTGCTTACTCCTTCTTCATTTTCCCCGGTTTTATACAGGGTGTAACTAAATAAGTATAAAACATTCAAGGAGGTGATTCCTCATCGAAAAAAAGATAGGATCTTTCATATAAAGAAATTTCATTGGAGCATCCCTTGTTAA